TGTTTTGCTGACAAAAGCTTTCAGTAAAGATCGTGAAGTAGAAAACTTCCGTGATTCATGAGTATAATATCGAAAATTTAAAGAAAAGTGTTTGAGAATCGTCACGTTGGCATCAGGAAAATAAACTGTATATATTGTAGTTATTGTTTTGGGTATGAAGCGTGACAATACCAAACTCATTCCAAAATAAAAGGGACGTAAAGTAGAGGTCGCAAAAGAGATCATTGACAACGTGACTGAGTAGCCTGTATGCATCATGCGCATCATGACTGGTGGGCGAAGCGAAAGCGAAGAAACGAAAATGCGCTAAAGGTACTGAAGGCCATCAGAACCGAGGCTTTTAACAAATATCAGCCAAATTGAATTAAGCGTTGTTATGCTTATACTGGCTTAGCATATTTTTTTTTTTTTTTTTTTTTTGTTTGGTCCGGGTTAATTTCGGATATAAAGTATTTTGCTTATAAATACTGGCAGAGAAGAATATATTTTAAATGCAATATATTTACTTATAAAGTCCATCGAATTTCTATGGACTACAAGTTTCTCATCTGAGACGACTGCAAAAGACTTCGCCAGCACACAATAAATTAAATTATCTATGCCATGCTTCCGAAGAAGATCAAAGATTTAATTGAGTTAATTTTTAACATGAATTATTTAGAAAGAAATATAGATACAAACGAGAAAGCCAAATTCTTGATGGACTTCTAACAAAAAATATCGAAAGAACATTGAAATCGTTTTCACTTAGTCTTGACGCAGGAAGCGCACGAATTCGTACTTGGCAAGAAAGAATGGAAATTCATTGATAAAATTAAAGAGAAGCAATTGCCTACGAGGATCTGAAAAATATGAGGCAAGTGAAGTGGAAAATTGCTGCGTTAAAAATAATTTCCGTCGTAGTTTCCTTGATATGCGCGTAAGATTGCTTACACTCATACACCGATAGCTGCACATAGCCACATGCCTCGAAACAAAAAACAGAAAAACAAGGGCACGCACGAGCGTAAACGCTACCACGGCAAACAATTGGAACTTTTTGGCACAGCTTAAGGGAGATCAAGCAAACAGGTCTCGGTTTAGAGGCTTCTTAGCAGAGCAACAGTAGAAAAAATATATGAATGTTCTTAGGTGTGGAGGAAGGGAGGCTGCAAAGTGTATGAAGTGTGGGAGCAAGGAGCTCACTGAAAGCTATTACACACGTGCACATTGAATATATGTGCAGTAAACGCGTACGACGGCAACGGCAAGTGCAAAGGGTCCGCAGCTTCAGACAAATGTGTTTGCGTTTGGTGGCACAGCCGTTGTTGTTGCCGTTGTACCGCAACTGAAGTGAAACGCTGACGATTCAACGATTGGATAAATCAACAAACCGGAAATCGAATGTGGAATCGCAAGCGAAGCGAAACAGTATAGTGGAGCGCTCTCGGAGCAGAAAGCGAATGAAAGAAAGAATGGCAGGCGGAAAACATGTAGCATGGAAATAGAATGACAGCAATAGGAATAAATGAAAGCGCATTGTGATTCCTATGCACAGATACTTGCGGGTTGTTGTCACTCACACAAGTTGGCGAGAGCAGAGACGGCGGCTGTAGCAGCTCAAGCCGTTAGTCAGTTAGCCAGGCTGTCTGCAAGGCACTGAGCCAGTCACTCACTCAGCCGTTCAGTAAGTCAGCATAAAGCAGCTAAATAATAGTGGAAGAGTATAAATGTGTTATTTGTTTTGCTGTTGTTGATGCTTATACCAATTTTTCGGCGCATGTTGCCCCCACGTAGTGATAGCCGGATGAAAGGGATGAGGTTGCTAGCGAACATTGAAATGAAGTGCAGTCAGAATTGTGGAATCATTTTGATACTTGACGAAATCAATACTAGGTATTTTAAGTTTTTGGAAGACTGTTTGAAGAAGTCAAGGTGCCATTACTACAGAGCCTACCAAACCCGCATAGGATAATTTTTGTGATGTTCTAAAGAACACTTTCTCAAAAATAAATCTATTTTTGTCTGACTATACTGGAGTAACTTCATTTTACTTGAATTTACTATGAATTGATCTCTTCACGTAAGTTGAATGCCATTTATGCGGAGAGGTCTTAAAAATATTGCACTAATATTATTTTCTCCTGTTTGCTATTTTAATAATTTCCGGCTAATTTACTAAAGAGTGCGAACCGATTCATGCTCTCTCTTTGGGCTTGAAATTACGTATCGCAGTTTAACCAACTTTAAGTTTAAGTTAGGTACCATAATGGACTTAAAATATTTTTCATACAGGGTATAAGCGAATTGCACTCACATCTATTCGCTTTTGCTAAGCTCTATTGCTGAGCTATACAACTGCAAGGTTTCGCCATTTTATTGCAGTTGATTGATTATTTAGTTGTAGTTGTAGTTTATTGTAGCACAGTTGCGAATCCTTAGTAGCAAACTCGCTCTCAGCTACCTCTCAAGTGCTCTGCATTCAAGTGCCATGCAATAGATGTGAGTGTATGAGTACAATATGTATGGACATTTGTGTGTGTGCAAAGTGTTGCTGGCATTAGAACTGTTTGTGAACTTATTGAAAACGTGCGGAGCAGAGCTGACGCAGAGAAAATATTGTAAAAAGTGTGAAACTGGTATGAATTGGTATTTACCGGGAGCAAGGACGCTCACAAACAACACTGACACTTAAGTAACAAATGTCAACTTTACTATGCAATAAGCAATAGTCAAGCTAAGCCGAAACGAGCAAATACGAGTCAAAAGGCCGTTTACTGAGATTTGCCAGAGATTGCGCGTCGAGGATAAAGGCGAAATGATTGAAAATATAAACTTTTTCGACACAGCCACACACAGTCACACACTCACACTCATGCATGCGAACTGTGAAGGACGCAACGTATTTGGGATTAAGGCTATTGCTGCAGATTTTCCTTATTTTCACTCTCGACTAGAGGAAATTGAATGTAAAGATACTAAAATGGGAAATTTGTTGCCGCTTTTAAGTCATGCACTTTATTCGTTTACCTTTTTTTTTGTTGCTGCCATTTCGTTTTTCATTTCTTTGCACATTCAAATTTGTTTGTTGCCGAAAATATTGCACACCAACAAACAACAATGTTTGTCAGTTTATATTTCCTCCAAACACGGAGTGAAGCCAAAAGGGCCCTTTCTTTTCATTACGTGTTTGTGTTGTTGTTGCACAGTGCGTTCTAAGCTGTTTAAGCTCGACGTTGGTGCTCACTTCGTCAAGTGTGCAGTCGATAAGCAAATAAAAATCTTTAAGCAATCACAGCAACCGTTATGCCGGCGTCAATCTCTGGCTTGTTGTTATCCTGCTGTTGTTGCTGTTGTAGCTGCCGCTGGCTGTGGCATCGCATGGCTGTTCATTTTATCGATACAACAAGTCAACAAGCGTGTGCTACTAGCAATTTCACTCGATTGGCGCGCTGCATGAAGACTCTCGAACACACTTCATGTGTGTGTGTGTGTGGGTGTGTGTGTCGGTGTATTCGTAAGTGATTATCGAGTGGGTGTAGCGGGCCTAAAACATGTTGAAGTGTGTGTGTGCTGTACCTTTTTCGAATTTCCATTTTACAGAGTTTTACAGTCATTTCATTGCCTCCTTTATTTGTACACATTTTACCCGCCGTTTTTTGCTGTTCGTTGTTTGTTGCTTTTGATTTGGTTTGTTATTACGGTATTGCTGCCTGCGCTTGTCGTTCTTGTCATGTCAAAATCATCTGAATTGTCAATAAAGTAATGTTGCCGCTGGGAGCAATTTTTATTTAATATGTTTTCTTTAAATTGTCGTGATTTCCTCTACACTTCGTTGCCTTCGAGTGTGTGGGTGTGTGGGTGAGTGTGTACTAGGGTGTTAGCTGTTGTCTTGTATCACTGTTTTCTTTTCTTTGCATAATTTATTTTTATTGCGTATCTCCGGTTTAGTTTCGGTTAATAAAATATGAGATTTCCGTTAAGACTCATATGTAAATTTAATAAAATTACATTAATTTGAACAAAATGCGATTTGTTAATTAATGCTAAAAGACCTCAATGCCGAGTTTAAGCTGCACGTAGGAAGAAATATACATATTTCTGACCAAAATGATGCTCTAAACATTTTGCAACGACCAAAGATTTTAAAACACTTTAGTGAGAGAGTTTAAGCATTGAAAACAAAAATTTAAACTCGATTTTGAAGTCTTTTTAAGAATTTGAGATAAATTTTATCCAAACTCTTATTTTCTTAAAGATCTTAATGAGAGTGTTTAAGGGTTAAACATGAAACTTGAAGCTAGAGATTTCATGTTGGAGGAAATATATTATATTTGGACCAAAGTGGTGAATAAAGATTTCTTCAACTCCTTAAAAAGAGTTTTCAGCGTTAAATACGAGTCTGTAAACTCGAGTTAAAAGTGCATGTTGGAACATATCAATTTTGACCAAAACGTTGCACATTTGACAAGCCTCCAACTGGACGTTAATTTTTCTATAGGAGGCCCTCAGCTCGCCAGAAAAAACGTAATAGCATAAAGAATTATATACAATGAGTTTTTCACACAATGTTTGAGTAGTTTTAATTTGCTTTTGCATGCACCACTTCATTAATGAGTGACAGCGCAAAAAATATAATAATAATAATCGAAGCAGATGTTTCCTACATAACTGTGATTGAGCACAAAAAAACACAACACATTAGCAAAAACCGTGCCATACAAATCATGACTCAAAAAATTGGCTTCACTAAAAAAAAAAAACAACGCAAACAAAAAAGTGCGCATCATAGGCGCCGATGTGGCATAAATGTATAATTGTGCCACACATTACTTTGCTGACACACTTGCACAAATTTTCACGTTACCGTTTTTGTCTACACTTTCTGGTACAACATATTTTTTCCTTTCGCCGACAACAACTTTTCACAGCGCGACCGCCATTTATGTGGCACGCAAAAAAGCGCCGAAAAATTGGGAAAATATGAAATGCAACAATGTCATGTCGGCACGCATACTTACCGCAATATATTGCCAACCCTTGTTGACGCGCACTAGCAGCGCTTCCTCCTCCGTGATGTAGGCCAGTGTGCCTGGCGGATTCATGGCTGATTTCTAAAGCAAAAAACAGGAGAAAAAGACAAATGTTTTATTCTTTTGCAAACAAAGCGCCATGTGCAACATATGTATTTATGATTGTGTGCGGCTTTTTCGCATTTGCGGCATGGGAAAGCACATCTGTCGCACAGACAAAATGATGAACACGCAAATAGGCATGCAAATAAATTGTAATCATAGGCACATTTTAATTGCACATGCTCGGCGCACGAAAATTACTATAAATTGTTGAAAGAAAAATAATTACTCTGCGCTAATGAGTGATTTTTTACGAACTAATAAAGTTGCATGTGTGCTTGCGGCAAGCTTTCAGAATTCACGTAATCAAATGTGAAAGGGACGGCTTCTTGGAACTTTTACGGAGATGAGTTCTTATTTGCGACAGATGATTACTCTTGGGCACTGAATAATATATTTTAATGATTACTTCGAAAAGTATACAAATGTTCAACGACTAACAGTAAAAGCTAAAAATGCTTCCTTGTGTAATTTTCGGCATTCCACATTTGAAATTTTTAGGAAAGTCAAGTTGTAGATATATATTTTTTCTGTGTACGATCTTAGGTTATTGTGCACCGCTTGTTTATTAGTATTCGTTATAAACATGCTCTTATCTTAATTATTTTCTTATAGGGCTCACCTTTGTCATTTCATCGATATTCGAAAACGTCACCGCTCCGGGTACGATGCGCATATTCCAGGAAGATGCCGAAAAGTACGGTGTCTCCTCATCGTCATGACGAGAATGGCTGGGTGGACCTGGTGGGCCGGGAGGACCGGGCGGGCCTGTATGTTTGTTAGGGTCAGCAAATGTTTTGAGCGTGAAAAATTGGAAGAAATTTACAAAAAATATGAAAATTAAAAGTAATTCCACATTTTTTAAGAGAATATGTATTATTTTGCAAATGTTCAGCAATGCAAACATTCATGAGGAAAAAATAATTAATAATTTGGCAAGACTTTGACTACCATAAAAAGACGTAAGTGAGACAGAACTACGAAATGAACAACAATATAATAATAATTGCTAAGACAGCAATTTAAATTTTTATCCTTATAGTATATCTATGTACAAGAAAGTATAATAAGAAAACTGCAAAGAATTACAAAGTGCTATATATGCATGAATATTTACTAGGGTGTCCGTTATTTCTCGAACTGAAAGTGCTTTTTTCAAACGTCCCTTTTAAAAAAATAAGAGTCCTACAGAAAAACCAATTTTTTCATATATCTTTTCCCTTGAACAATGCATGGAATTTTTTGATATTTTGCAATAAAAAAAGTAAACTTGGGACTTTGATGTGGATGATATTCTCGTACAAAATTTTCCGCTCTCAAAAAATGTCTTAATGATTTATGTTCATCAAAGTTATTTTAAAAGTAATACGCAGGCAATACATCAAATTACACAGTACAACAGCTAATCTGGGGGGGTGAGAAATTCCAAGTCAGGGTGATGGTACTAGGTGAGTATAGTAAAACCCTCAAAGGGTTTGGCGTTCGTATATGTTAGTTTTTTTATGACCTTTTAAATTTTTTCCTTATTTTCCATGGTTTTCCATCCAACAAATTAATTTTTTCCAATCAGGCGTACTAAATGGTCCAGATATACGAAAGCTGATTAAAAGTGACGCATTCAACAATATTTTGATTGATATATATTGAATGCATGGCAGGCAATCGAAGAAGTAATAGAAGGCTTGTTGGGAAAGCATCGTTCTAACAACTACGAGGTTTCTGTCGCAAGGATGTTAAGATTATTCTCGGAAATTGTTTATTTTTTTTTTTTTATTCTTTTTTTCGGTTTTTGCGAAAAAACATCAAGATAAGGAAAAAAGGGGTCATAAGGTCATAAAAAAGAAGTGACACATACCAACGTCAAACCCTTTGAGGGTTTTACTATACCGACCTAGTACCATCACCCCCCAGACAATAATCCCAAAAATGTTCCACAGTGTTATCCGATTATTCGAACAAGCGGTCTTCACTCGTACTTTGTGTGTTGCTCATACGACATGGTGTACTGTATGAATAAACTGGATTTGATGCATCATTTCAACTACGCATGACTTTTAAAGCAATATTTGTATAAAAAATTTATAATGAAATTTGTAGACTGAAAAATTGCATCAGAGTTGTAAAGTTATTTGCTTTGAGATGCAAACCTTATTGCAAAGGATCAAAAGATCCCACATAAAAAACATGAGAAAAGTAAAGTGGTATAAAATGAACGTAAAAAGCTTGTTTACATGAATTCCTACCTTTTAATGCAAAAGCTAATTCTTAAGAGTAAATTCGCATGAGAAAACTCAACTTGAGAAATAAAGAAACCCTAATATACATTCATATTGGGGGACTTCGAAAAAAATGGTTCGTATTTTGAAAGCTCAAAGACTCGGCTTTAAGAATTTGAAATTGTTTTTGGTAAAATTATTGGATTAATTACGAGTAAATCGAATTTTAATTAAAAACAATTTTTCCACGTTAATTTCTGCACGAAAAACTAAAACAAAAATGGCAGGCCTTAGAGTTGAGCCAAAGAGCTATGACCGGTGAGGATTTTTTTCACAATAAATACAAATATTTGAGAGGAAAAAATTTGAAAAAAAAAAAAAAAAAAAAAAAAAAAAAAAAAAAAAGAAAAAAAAAAAAAAAAATCAAAGAGAAAAGAAAAAAAAAAGAGTGAAGCACTCAAACTTAGATAATATTTTAGTCCAGAAAAAATTATATTTCAAACTTAATATACGAATACTCATACATTGTAATAATAATATTTTCCTTTCTGTTCTAAAAAATTGTTGTCATTTTAAGAGTATGCAACGTTTTGTTGTTGTTAACGCATTTTATTTGTGCATAACTTTTGATTCCAAATGAAGAAACTGGAGGTAGAAGTATAAACCAACAGTTATTTTACAGCCAATCGGCTGTGGCTGTGGCTGTTCGTTGTTACAGTTGTGGTGATTGTAAGCGTGCAGCGACGCGGATGTGCAACAACAATAACATTAATATTTTAAGCAAAAAAGTGGAAAGAACGCAATATGCGGAAGAAAACAAGAGAGAAGAGACATAAAAACCGACGCCGAAGGCATGACAGAGATTGGTGGCGGCGAGAGCGAGAGCCAGCAAAGAAATTCCGCTGCGAAAGCGAATGCGGTAAATGTAATTTACTCATTAATGTAATGACTTCACGATGACTCAGTGTATACAATGCTGATGACGTTACAACAACCACCACATTATTACGGTTGATGATGCCGATAATGATGTTGCTAATGTTGTTGGCCAATAAGAAAGGCGAAATTTAATCAAAGCGAACAATCATCAATAAACTTTGTGCATTTCCTTGCGCATGCTGCAGAAAAAAAAACTCAGAGAAAATATGTTTTCCTCTTCCTATAAACATTTCACTTCCGCTTTAACTCTTTACTTTTCTCCCATGCAGATGAAAGTGCGCACTTTTTATTGTTGTTTGTTTATTGCATACAAACGCATGCTGCTGAAACTGTGTCGTCGCACTCGCATTGATAACAGTATGCAGAGTTCAATGCACAAATAATTGCTGGGGAATTTTCACTTAACAACTGCATTTTATTCCGCAAAGCTGTAGTTATTGTGTGCGAATATTTTTCATATTTACCGTTATGCCCATATTAGCATAAGTTGCTTGTGCATTTATATTTGCACAACAACCGATTCTGCATACATTATAGCCACTTGCGCAATGGCATTTATGCAAATTTCGGTGTTTGGCCGCAATTGAATTAAACGTGTTTCGCCGAGTTCAATCGGGGTTTTTGAAAACCAATTAAATTTTAATATTGTCTACAATTAAATATTCGACTCGATCAGGCTTAATACCAAGCCAATTTATTGAAATATTGTGTGGGAATGTATGAATGACATATCGTAATCTTTTAAATACAGTGTGCGATAATTGAATATATTCGAGTAACTGAATACAGTCGAATATTTTGCATACTTTTATGCGCGCAATGTTTTTGTATTGTTAGTCAAAAGTGCAAACATCAATTGTGGTGTGCTTTTCGGAGGTCAGGTTTAATCGAAAACCGAAAATTAAAGATTTCCGTTCTAAAGCAGGTTCCTCGACATTTTCTATTCGAGCGAAACTGCTTCCGGTAAGCTTATTTTTTTTACTTTGCAATGTATTTGACCTGACATTTTTTTTTGTTTTTTAATTTTTAAAAATCCTTTAAGTGCATCCATATTATGCAAAATTCTGCTTAAAGATCGGTAGTGAATTATATTTATTGAAAGCAAATATTATATTTAGAAGAAAGTTCGGAAATAATTTTCGAAAGTTTTTTAATACATTGTTTGTTCAAACTGTATGAATTTCCACCCTCTCTTTAGAAGTTGTCGTTTTTATGACACTTGATGTAGTGGCAGAATTAAATTTTATTGTATAGAAGTACAATCTCCGTATTCTTATATAAGTATATCGATATTTTCGAACATGGCATATAGTTATTAAGAATATCTATTGAGCTTACTTTCACATATGTACAATCACACTTATATACCATACTATATATTTATACATATGTAATCGTTATATGAATTGAAAATATTTAAATGAGGTATAAATTAAATTACAATTAAGCGCTGAAAGCATGAATTAAATTTCATGATATGTGTATTTATTGTTGTCATTTTAATTGGTTGGATCACATGCATAAAAGTGTGAGGTATGGTTGGCACTATTAATGTGTGAGTTCACTATTTATTAAATGTTTATTAAAAACTTGGTAATATGGGGACAAATACCGATTGTTTTCAGCAAAAAATTAGCATAGCTGCGGGTGCAAAAATTATTTTTACACAAAAATATTTAACAATATTTTAAACTTAGTTTTAAAAAGTTATCTAAGCACATTTTAAAGTGCCTTCTCGAATAAAAAAGCGCATAAAGGGCAAAAAATGGAGACATTGTTTTTCTCTATAAATTTTTGAACAGCTTCACTTCAGATTCGGAATTTTAATAAAAGTTTTGTTTCTATTTGATAATTATGAGGGAATACGTTTTAGATGAAGACTTATTATTCGTTGTTGCAGCACTTCTTATAATATGAAATGATAAAATTTCCAAAGCAAAAAGGACTTTTTGAATCTAGCGCCTCCTGGCGGCGTCATCTATATGTCAACTGGTGCGTTAGAATCTGCTATCTCTATCCATTGTTCAGTGAGAAGATAATGACATTTCATAGATTAGAAGTGAAGCTATTGCGTTTTAAGCGTCAGTATATTTGTGTTATCGGTGCGAAAATTAGCTTCGAACAAAGAGCCAAGATTAAACTTTGTTTTAAAATTGGTAAAACTTTTCCCAAAACGTTTCAATTGATGAAACAAGTTTATGGCTATTATTGCCTATCCCGTAGCAGAGTGCACGAGTGGTTTCATCGTTTTCAAAGGGGTCGTGAGGACATAAATGACGATGAACATGTGGGCCAATCCGTGTTCACCGGAAATTCCATCGAAACTGTGCGTGAATTCATCAAAAATCCGCCGAAAATCATCATTGAAGTTCACGTAAATGGAATTGAACATCTCCAAAGCATCGATTTGGGCTTATGAAAGGAGTGCGCACGGTTATTTCCGCACAAATTGACTGACGACCAAAAATGGCTCCGAATTCAACATTCGATGGACGAATAATTGACCAAAAATTTCTTTTTCGGAAAAATGCCTTGGCCCATGAGAGAAAAGCGTTATGCAATTTAAGAAGCCTGCACCGGCATAATGGCGGCCATACCGGCCAACGAGCTAAAATACTCGTTCGACATGCTTTTGAACCATGCAAACAGCTGCATTGAAGCAGAAGGAGACTATTTTGAATAAAATAAATTAATTTTTCGAAAAACCATTTGTTCTGTTTTTTAAGTCCTGTTTACTGGGAAACGCTCCTTTTATTAAATTTATGATAAAATTTTTGCATATATGTGATTAATTTTCTGATCGAACTGAGTATATTTATTTATAAGAAAACGACTAGCTTAAACTTAAAGCAATATAATTTATTCTGCTTTGCCATTTGTTCCATATTTTTCTACTTTTTTTTTCTCAAATATTGCAAGTAATTTATATATGGAGTATTGAAGAATATTGATTTGCAAATATTAATCGGAAAACTCATCAAAAGATCAGAGTTTCCACTAAACTTAATTATCATTATTATATGAAGAATATTATTACGAAGCCGTCAAGTTTGGGAAAAATTGTTTCTTTGAAAATATACATATATACAAAAATCTCTTGTACTACAAAAACGATGTGCTAAAAATTACTCATACGCCACGTCTTACAATGTGTTTCACTACAGTTAATTAATTAATTTTTTGAATAGTAATATTAATTGTTATATATTTATTTTAGAAAAAGTTTTTACATTTTATTTATAATTTCCTTTTTTTTCATCTTCGTTAAATAAAAATATAAAATTTCAAAATATTTCAAATATTCTGCTTAAACAAAAAGTGAAAAACAAAAGAATGAAAAAATTTTTACAAAAATGTGCGTTTTTGGAACAAATTACGACATAAAGAAAACAATATTTTACCAGATGTGCTGTCTGGACGATCTCTCAAGTCTTGTAGTTCACGCATAGCTTTGATTTCATCGAGAGAGGAGCGTCCACTGGCTATAAGGCGTTGAGGTTTTGGTTATGTCAAGCGTTAGTTATTTGCAAAATGCATTAGTTTTGCAAAGTGGGATTAAAGGTAGAAGTGCAGTTGTTAAGTATATACATGGTTAGGTTCAATAAATATAAATAACAAATGTGGCATTGGATTAAACGCAGTATGTTCAAAAATTTTAATTGAATCAAAATAAGCCTAGTCAAAAAAGTCTATTTATAAATACATCTTAGGAAGATAATATTTACAGCGAACTTTAAACAACTTGCTGGTTAAACTACTRCTTTACTTTACTTTGCTTTGACTTTACTATTTTGCAACTCACACTTACTTTTTAAAGAGGCTTCTTAATTAAAACAAGAAATGAAATAAACAATATAGAAAACGCGAAAATCATAACATACCCGGTCGTCCATAGTAAGACGCATCACCGTAGAAACTGCGAGAATCCATGCCGGGCTCACCTTTCGCACCGGTTATTGATAAACCGGGCATGCCGGGTTGACCGGGCGCGCCTGGTGGTCCTGGTGGGCCAGGCATCGGTATGTACTGCACACCCTCGCCGGCCGCTGCTGGCAAGCCGGGTGGTCCCGGCAGGCCGTCACGTCCATCCTGACCTCGATCACCTTTATCACCTTTGGGCTATGTGAAGGGAGGGGAGAAAAAGTTAAAGCATTGATTATTAGCTTAAAATTAATTTTTTTAATGAAAAAACAGCTGTAGGTGATGAAAAAACTAAGAAAAAAAAATGAAATATGGTTACTCTTCTGTTATATTTCTGCTGTCTCTTTGTAAATTTTATGTACTTTTATACACTAATTGTGCATATCAAGCAATAAATTGCGCACACTTAGTTGCAGGCACGACTAAAATGTCAAGTTTTATGCCAGATAAATGAGGTCTCAACTGAATTCGCTATGTTAAGCACGTCTGTCTACTGCTCAAATGTTATCTAAATGTGTGTGTCCAGACCTGCGACTGCGTATTTAAATGTATGTATGTATGTATGTGTGCATGTTTGTTTACAACATTACTGCTCAGCTGGCCACCAAACTTTATCTGTTTGTGTGTGTCTGTGTATAATGATGGCACTTTTATGAAGATTGTTTTATGGAGTGACGCAATGTTGCTGTCGTTTGCACTAGGTTTATTGCTACATTGTTTGTTTACTGTTTTCGTCTATACACACTCATACATACATCGTAAAGTGAGCCTGCTTCCGCTTGCAGTTTGGCGGCAAGCTTCTCTATACGCACTCATACATACTTACATACATATAGAGAAAACACAGCCAGATACATACAAACAGCCGCATAAGCTTTTAAGTGAGCAGCATCTGAGTAGGCCACCACACACACACACACAAACGGTTATGTGCCGCCACAAAGCCCTGCATATAAAATGTACATTGTTTGCTACAAACTAATTGACAATAATAATGGGCCAAGTTATTGCCACTACTGCGGCCTAAAGTGTACCGTTGTATGCGCAGTCTACAGGACGTATACAACACTGGCTATTATCACCAAGAATTCCATCATCATTGCCATCACTGCGCACATAAACACATCCTATTCACAATGTTGCAATTTGTGCGAGCGCTCGGGCAGCATTAAGTAAATAACCGAACAATAGAATGAGAGCGACAACTAGTTAGAGACCCGGCCCCGCTCTGTCTTCCTCCTCGTGGCCGCTTACAATGTATGCTGTGGCAATTGTAACGGCGCATTGCTGCCACTGTTGAGTAATTTGCAACTTTGCTGCGAATTGCCTGTGAATTGCCAAGCGATTCGTTGCGGTTATTATTCTTTGATGAAGTTGTGCGTTTTACTGCCGCCGCTCGGCTTCGCTTGCTGGCCGAGCGTTCGTAGCTGCCAGAGCAGCATCCGGACGCTTTCTTGCTTTTTTATAATTTTTTTCCGAGTATTGCAATTGCTTTGTTCTGTTTTTGTTTTTATTGTTTTGTTGTCGTGTCTGCTTTGCGCTGGGCTATTGGGTGCGTCCATAGGCCATAAATGCATATGTGGAGTCGTGCTCGTCCTTTGGCTTGTGGACATTTGAGGCCTGCGGGGAAATTGTAGTTTGATTTAAGTGCATTTGCGCGTTGCGCAATTCTCACTGTTTGCACAAATAAATAACGTGTGTATGTGCATTTATTGCAATTAATGTGTGTTGTGTGTTGCACTTTATTTCTCACACACCCACACTAACACTTGCAAGCAGCTAAGTAATTGTGAATTTCGCCAACTAAGTGTTGGCTAATTGAAATAAATGGCCAAGTAAGTCAGCCTCATATTATATTTAATATTTAATAGTTCACTTTGGTTTCATTGTATTCTATTTTAGTTAGCAAACTCACGTAAATTAAACATTCTTAATGTTGTTAGTATTTATTTTGTAGATTTATTGCGTTTTAAAAGCAATTTTTGTTGGTCAAATATTTTCACACATTGCTTTTGCCGATATTTATTTGCTTAGACCATTAAAGCTAAATGAATCTTTATAAAAATCATTAGCAGCTCGAATGAAAAGTTATATGAAAAGCTTGTTATAGTGGAAAATATAGTGTTTCATTATAAAATATTTATTTAAATACAGTTGCATTTGCACTTAAATATGTTCAAAAGCCTTCACAGGTGCATTTCTTTTAGTAACTATGTGTTCAGTTTGTATGGAAGCTATATGCTATAGCAATCCGATCTGAACAATTTTTTCGGAGTAATTCAGGTCAAATTTCGTGAAGATACCACGTTAAATGCGAAAGCTTTCCACAGAAGAACTTTTTTCCTATCATTCAGTTTGTATGGCAGCTATATATTTTAGTGGTCCGATATCGGTAGTTCTGACAAATCTCTTGAAGAGAAAATTTCAAAACGATATCTTAAAAACTGAAGGACTAGCTCGTATATATACAGACAGACGGACATGGCTAAATCGACTCGGCTCAACATACTGATCATTTATATATATACTTTATAGGGTCTCTGACGCTTCCTTCTGGGTGTTACAAACTTCGTGACAAACTTAATATACCCTGTTCAGGGTATACAAATTGTTTTGATCTGAGTCAAGAAGCATTTTGCTAATATGGAAAAGTCTATTTGAGTGCGGATGTCGGCTTTTCTCTTTACTTCGTTTCTCAAGGTGTATTCTCGAGAAAATGGAAATATTTCGCAAAACACCTCAAAACATAACAAACATGAATTAATATCAAGGTTAAACGACATTCTTCATTACCATCGAGTTTCATAACTATTGATCAAATTTGACTCTTACTTATCTTCAACCGTTCGTGTGAAGTTTGATTTCTATATGGCAATTAGTGTGTTTAGAAACAGTTTGTTTATGAGAAGAGAAGTTTGTCTGCCGATTTTTACTTACAAAAAAAAAAAAAAAAAAAAAAAAAAATGTGAAACAAAATTTGATGGAAATTTTCTGTTTCCAATACATATACTTGTAATAACGAGTGCATTTTATCATGAGTGCAAGTATTTGAGTAGCACAAAGTGAAGACAGTGAAATCATCGAACGCGTCTCATACGCGTCGTCCATCCCCCTCTGATAATGATGATAATATTGAAAAAGTTAAAGAAACAGTGGTCAAAAATCATTTTGTTGACTTCCGAGGTATAACAGAGGAATTCAATATTTTTTATAAATCAGCTCAACAGGCTTTGGTTAATGCTTTAGGTATGATGCGCTAGAATCGTGCTTGCATTTTTTGTTAAAGTTATGCACATTACTGATCGAAAAAGATGATTGATAATGTTGATGATGACCTCACATCACACTTGTAGTGAAAAGAGATGAGTGGGTGTCCGAATATGACGTCGAATCAGTCCAAGAATATAACTTGGCGCTTCAAAAATTAGCCAGATCGCGAAAATCGAAATTCGTTGAAGGCTCTGAGAGCCATCCAGCCGAGGCTTACTATAACTAATATATGGGAAATAAAATAAAATTTGTGAAGATGCTCCGTATCAAATGTGATCAAGTTGGTAATAAAAGTTTTCTTTCATATGAAAGAACGTTTTTGAGATATCGATTTAAAATTTAACACGTTCTTTTCTCTAAGAATTATCTTATTCATCGGAGCCGCTGTTGGATATAGCTTATTTGGCAGGGTATCTAGGCGATATTCGGCACATATAATTCCCAAGGCATCGCTACAATATACAAATAATTTGCTAATATAACTGTAGCACAGAGCTGCTTTATTATTTGACTTATCGAAATCAAGCTAAAAATGTTTTTATATTTCTTTATGCACTAAAGGTTTTTTAGTTTTTAATGACATTAAATTTTATAATTTCTACTTCGATTTTTGTTTTTAAGTCTAGAAGTCATTTTCGACTTGACCAAAGGAATTTTAAAATACTTAACCATAATATGGCTTAATTCATAACTTGCTAATTTTTTGGAAATAAATTTTTAGTTTTTTAAGCAAATCTCTTATCTACAATTTTAATTAGTATGTGGCAAGGATTCTCTATCCTCATCCACGTCTTATAGTTAGTTATTAATCCCCTATCCTATCGATAAAATACCAACTTCTTTCGGTTAGAACGCCCTAGCTCTGGAAGCGATTTCAGTTTATTAGAAGGAGAGGAAAAAGGAAATCTTTATTTTCGAAAAATTAACACTTCTTGAGCATTACAGACATACAGAAGTACTTCCTGACACTCCTCGCAAAGACATAAAATTTAAAAACATAATTGACAACATCTCTTTTATTTATTGAATTTTAAATTGTCGTTTTTGCTGGTGAGATGGCTTGAAGAAAATTATAATTAAACTTTCATAATACGATTTCATCTATTCCAGCTTCAATATTATTTCCTAATATCACCATAAAGAGACACGGCAAAGTATAAACAACTCTGTCGTTTTGATTCTGCCATCCAGGTAGTGAAAATCTAGATAGTATGATGGTGTACCAACAACGCATATCCCTCTTCTATAGTCCTTTTAAGTAGAATGTGGCAAGTTGCTTATTGAGAAGTACTCATACACATCTACATGCAATTAAAGCAGCGCGCCATTTAGTTTGGTTGCTGACCTGCTTTCAAGCACTTAAATCAAGTTTATACAAACATTAAGTTGATGAATAATAAACTTGGCAACCTGCTGTTAAATACACATAAGACAAAAGTAACTAAGCTGAAGTTGGAATATCTGGCGAATGCTATCTCTAAAATGCACCGTTTTGTGCAGATCAGCAAAGGCGGCAACAAAAACAAAAGGAAAGGTAAAAGTAAAAATACAAACAAAAACAAAGCTAAAGGTAAAACCAAAGCAGCGACAAAAGTCAAAATAGCTGGGACATCAAACGCTGGGGACTAAGGAGCTGGAAGCTGCAGGAGGGGAAGGGAGTATAAGACTTAAAACGAGTTGAATAGTTTAATACATGAAATTGCATTTGCATTGCTCCGACACCGAGAACATAAAGTCGTTCTAAAGCAAAGGCAACAATAATAAAAACAGGAACAACACGTTTATTACAACGTTTCCCCATTTATAGCTCGGACTCGGTGCTGCCGAACAAAAGCGCGCGGTGAAGCAATTTTGTCGCTGACTCAGATATTTAAATGCACAAAACTGACACAGTTGTAGAGGCAAACGCGAAAGGTGCAGTCGTGGCTTGGTCGCGTTGAAGGGTTGAGTCGCAAAGTGGAAAACTACTTCAGTTGCTCTAATTAATATTGTGCACTATGTGCAAGATGGGTGTGGATGTAGATGGCTCAAAATGGGTCGGTAAAGAAGTGCCGCCGAATTTGTCTGTCTCCGAAATCACCTTTTCATTTGGGATCCAACAAAGCTTGCAAGCATTCATTGGTTCTCGGCTGCACGGGTTAATTTTGAACGATGATTCAGTACTCGCGTGAATATTAATATGTATGCAATAATATTATGTTATAATAGTAAGGCAGAGAGCAAAGTTAGTTAAGGTCCTTAACGATTATAAGGTTGCGGGATCCTTGCGTCCGAATCGGAAGCGGCGCTGTCCAAAAATATAGAGGCGGTGATGTTAAGAATTTTGCTGAGAAAAGTTGGCGAGATATTATCAATCAACCAGTCTATTCCCCACAGTTCAATTTCCAGCAGACGGAGGCTAAGCCAACTTTAACATATCTTTGGTGAAACTGTGGATTTAATATTATCGGCAAAATAAGTCCTACTTTGGAGTCAAAATGATCCGTCGAAATATTAAATATCCATATCCAATAGTTGTTTACCTAACAAAGGTGTACTGGCCACGTGGGGTATTTCCCTCCATACGCCCGACCGCCGTGAAGGGCTCAATCCGCGTACGTGCGGAGTCAACGGAGTCATAAAAGGCAACCACTAATCCAAAAACTTTCGTTAACTAAGATTTGAATATACGATATAACAAGTAATTATATATTAAATTCTTTTTTATTTTGAAAAGTGAGTAAGATAATAAAAATTAAAACACACATGTCAGAAAAATGCTTATTTAGTTCAACATTTGTTCTATAAAATTTTAGCAATAAGGCTCCGAACTGTCTCGATGAGCGATCCGATATATCAATATTATTAAAATTCAAGAGAAAAGCAACTGCCAACTTTTCCATTCAGAATTCTCACTAGGAATATTAAGCTAAGCATTCCTCTACGACTAGCGAGGGTACTTTTAGGTACATCTAGAAACGACTAGTGTATGGAGGAAGATATAACCTAGAATCTCATTGTCCGAAATGTTCTAAGACGAGAATTTAAAATTGTTTTAAAAGGACTCTATCTTGTCAGAATTGTTTTTATAACGAAGGTTTCATACCACAGAACGAAAACCAGCCTAGTAACCCCCACCCCACCTAATATAGTGGTAATTTTGGGTGGAATATATCAACCATTTCCTCGTTGAATGGTTTCCTGATTTTGTAATAAGTTTCACATATAGATGAGTACAGCACATAATTTTTCTTATAAAAGCTTTAACCAAACTAGATTGGTAAGATAATATATTTCCTAACAAATACTGGTTTTTGTCATTTCTCTTAATTTCCTTTGAAGAAACTGACGTAAATTAATATTAAGTTTCATTCTTTAAGTACTTCAAACCATACAAAGGATATTGCTTTTATAAGAAATTATTACACACCACCCACAAATAAGTTGTCTCATACAGACTTCAGACGTAATTACTTCCATACGAATGCCCATTCACCTAATTTTGTCTGTCTGTCTGTGGGGCTTATTACATTATACGTCCTCTATATTATTCTGCTCGAAAGAATTTTATTTGAAAGTGCCAATTTCTTTATTTTCTTTTGGGCTTAAGTGCCGCTCAACGCTTTTGTCGGTCAATGAATTCTGCACCGTTGTGCCTTGAAGCGACACCCCTTGTGTTAGCGTTGAAATTAACTTGTGTGATGGGAGCAGTAGCCCATAGAAGTGGGCCGAATTTCGGCGATTAATTTTCACTGTTATATACTGGTTTTCCATACTTGTATCAAACATAGTCACCACTCTTTATATTGTTGCAGTAAGCTCCATAGGCGATCAAAAGTAGGGAGCGAACCTGCAACTTTTCAAAATGTGCGCTGATGTCACCAAACCCATGCACCGAAGAACCACCACTGCTGTCAGCGGCCCGCCTGCAACATTTTGTTTGCCGCTAAAATATATACCGTCGACTCGCGGGCTCGTTGGTTTGCTTAAAGTGGGGCGACTGATATCCGTAGCAGTTTAGGCAAGCACTGTTGGTAAGGATGTAAGCGGAATGGGTTTGGCTGCATTCATTGGGGTCAACATTAGCGCTAAAGTCATTTATTAAGTTTGTTTCCCTCGCAAACTTTTGGTTTTTTCATTTTTGTTTGTTGCTTATGTTTGTATGGATGTTGACGCCCCGCTTGCTGGCTCTTCGGCATTTTTTAAGCTTTGTAGCTTCCTTCTCCTGCAGCGCGGTTGTTTATATTGCAAAATTTTGTTTACGGTTAAAGTTTTGCTCACACAAATGGATGGTGAGGATTTGTCTTTGTTTTTGCTTTTATTCTGTGCATATTTTTCAGCTCTAAGTGCTAACCCTAATTGCGTAAATTAAGTCACAAAGTAGTTGATGATCGCATTGGCTTGAAAAATGCTGATTTTGTTGCTATTGTTGGCAGGTATGCTTCTATGTATGTTCGAAAAAGTATTACAGAGTGTAAAAGTTAAGCTTCTAAGAGTTTCACTATGCTTAGTAGAATCAGATATTACAAGTTTTCTGCAACATTATTTTGCAAATGTCGAATGTGGCTCTTAAGAGGTTATTTCAATTAGCGAATTAAACAAAACGCAGTTTTTGATTTGCATATATCTACAAATATCATATGTACATATATATATGTTGGAAGAATATCAGTAATATGAGAAAGGGATATGGGATTTAGATACTTACTCCTTCTCGTCCGCCAGTTTCACCCTTTTGTCCTTTAGTGCCTGAATCACCTTTGGGGCCGGGTAGTCCAGGTCGACCCTACAATCAAGAAAGTCAGATTTAGTTGAAAGTTAAATTCCTCAAAATAATCAAAAAATAAATCGTACAAAGTGAATTATTTTAACATGCAATCTGGTTCGCTGAATTTATCGCCGACAATTTAAGCGTGTCAACAAAGTGAACCGTTTACAAGTTCCGATACAAATTGCCGCAAAATGTTCCATTTGGACTCAAATAAATGCAAATGCTGGCAAGCAACTTCCAACAAAGTTGCGAAAGCACTCAAAAGCAGAGCAAACGGCTGTGGATTTACAGTGGCAGAGTTCGTGCAAGATATGCGCAGCGTAAGGTCAAAACGAAACGGCGTCGCAAAAGCGAAAGCGAAATGTGAAGAGAAGTAAATGCAGCAGCTGCAAAAGGAAATTGAAACTGGAGTAGCGTATAACTGTGCCACCGCATCGCATAAAAGTTCTTTGGCGTATAAAAGTGTGGTTGCAATTGTACTGGCATCTGCCGTTTTCTCGCTTTCAAAATTGCGACTGCCTGGATTTAATGTGGCAGGGAAGGAGAGAACACCCTGCACTTTGTGGATATTCAAAGCACGCTGGTTAAATATGAAAAGCGAAGTAATATTATGCACCCTATTGGTTGTTTGAATGCAAATTCACCACGTGCTACAGTGCGGATGAGCAACATTTTTGCGTTTTGTTTGCGTTTATTTCACAACTTCGTGCTTATTGATGAGGCTTCTAGGGTAGATAAAGGAAGTAAGTAGTGCCACTTTGGTCAAACGAAAGCTGTTTATCGGAGTACCGTTATCAAAACCTAAATGATTAACGAAAATAATAACGCTTATGTATTTTCAATTAGACTCACCGAATGTCCAATATCGCCTATCGGACCAGGTTTGCCCGGCGGTCCGATCGGTCCAGCTTGGCCCGGTTTGCCGCGTCGTCCGCGCATACCCTTCTCTCCCTTCTCCCCCTTGGTGCCGTTCATAGCCATGCCTTCGTAACCGCCAGCGAAAAAGGCCTGCCCTGGCGGTCCTTCGGGGCCGCGATCGCCTTTCGGGCCGCTCAGGCCCCGCACACCTTTTTCGCCCTTCTCACCTTTGGAGCCAGGCAGGCCGGTCAAACCGTTCGACCCAGCTGGACCAGGCTCGCCGTTCAAACCGGGTGGCCCCTCATAGCCCTGCGGCCCGCGTGTACCCGGCGGTCCAGGTGGACCCGCTGGACACTGACATTGTCCACTCGCCGCGCTGCTCGATGTCCCATTCAACGAATTATCTGCATATATAACCTCACCTGGTGGACCGGGTGGCCCAATGGGACCCAATTCTCCGGGCAGACCACGATCACCTTTGAGACCAGGTGCACCGGGCGCTCCAGCCATGCCCGGGACACCGGGTTGACCTGGTTCGCCTTTTTGGCCATTACCGCCATGTACGCCCGGATGACCCTGGAAGTGGAAAATCGTAAATGTGCTATTACCAATATTATTACGTAATTAAAACAAGAGCTTTAATTATTATTTCCTGTGTTCATATTTGTATGCATAATGATATTTTAATTTGCCGCACAGATTCAAAACAAATAAAAGTGGGCTTCCACAAATTGATGGCCACATAAAAACAACACAGCTGTCACTCACACATACTAATCCGCCTAACACTGACGCACATCGCTGCTCATGAAATGTGTTATTGTGCTCACTTATCTCACTCACTCATAATGCAGCAGAAACACACACACTTGACCCTACACTTCAGCGCCAGAATAGCCACAATCGCGCATGCACCCCTGCTCCCGCACCGGTGTGCGTAAATTGCGCTGTAACCTAATTTTCAAATTCAATTTTCCACTTGCTTAAATCAAATCATCCCAAACACGCCGCCTCGGCCAGGCTATAACACAAATAAATTTATGCTCAAATTGCAGAGGGGCACGGCGAGTGACGAGCAGCGCGCACGAACGCCAAAGAAAGTCATACATTTTTTCCAGCAATAAAAAATTTCATCATCCGCACACATTCACTCAAAAAATACACACGCACACAGCTACACGTGCGGCAGATGTGCTGGAATCTGCATATATGGGCACACCAACAGCCAAGCGAAGCACTTAGAGTGCCGCCTGCTGAGTGTGTTGCGGGTGGGTTGAGGTGGTGGTAGTGTGGCACATAACAGCCAAGCGTCATGATTCAAAATGAGTTGCCATAAATCCTCACACGCTCTTGGCAACTCATTTATATGCACGCATATACACACATACTTGCGCTGCACACTCACTATGTACGAAAATGTATTTGTGTGTCTGGGTATGCATACGAAGGTAGTCGACACTCGTCAGCTATGCATCACTCCATCCATCCGATGATCCGTTGACCAAGTTGAAAGCTTGTTTGGCTTGTTTCACGCCCTTGTAACTGTGGTTCATTTGCTCGCCACACCAGCGCATGAATCTACCTACAACTACAACAACAACGACAGCAATAAAATAGTGCATACATATCCGTGCCACTTTTTAACACACTTTCGTATAGGCAACCATCGACCCGTCGACCTACCGACATTGACATCGTCGCTTGCATCGCTGATTTTGAAGGCTTCACATCAGCGCCTAATGAATTATTAATAAACCACATAACGAACGCGGCAACTCTACAACGCAGCAGTTCTGCCGGCGATGAAGTTGCGCCTTCGCCTCTAAGCACCACGATATAGGCGGGTAGCAAGTGTGTCATTTGCCTACACACATACACATAAGCGTCGATCATATCAATATTTGTATTTAGCGCCATTTTATGCGCGTCGCCCATTTTTATATGTTGCGAGCAAGCATTTTACCCAACGCAATGACTCAGGTGCGCGCTCATTTATTATGGCAGTGCAGCTGTGGTGGGGAGTTAGGCAGGCATTTGACATCAAATGAATTGCAAGCCTCAGCTATCTAATATTAATATAAAAGAGGTTTGAGGGGAAAATGCGTTTATTAATTCTTTCATAGATGCCAAGGGGTGTTTAGTAAAAAAAAAAATGTTTTTTTTTGTGGTTATTAATCACATAATTATTATGGAAAATAATATTTTAACTAAGAATTTAATTGAATTGCTGGAGAAAGTTAAAAATAGTTATGAATTTGTGTTGAATGAGTAATGAAAATAAGGGTTTCTTGGTATTCATTACCACAAAGTCAATAATAGAAGTGATCAATGCAACTGATTAGATGATATTAGGTGAAATTGGAGGTATGCAGTTTGATTTCTGGTCTATTGGACCCTCCGATCACTCCATTTGTTTCATCAAACAAAAGTGCGGGAATTTCCAATTACTTTGCTTCCTCGTTATGCATTAAGAGAGTGGTGAATTCAATTTATCTTCCTCTTCACTCACAGAATTAGAAATTCTCTTAGACTCACAGAATTAGAATAAGTCTTCGAAAAATTGTGGCTTATATCCTCTCTAAGCGGAGAAATTGGATTAGGATACCAAAATTTAAAGAGACATTGGTAACAAATATCTATACTTTTGCATCTATTTTTACTTTCAAAAATCTTCCATAGTGGAGTATGGTGCTACTGCACACGTTGCTTTCGGTCAAATTAACATAATGGCTACTTCTTCTCATTCGTTTTCAAACAAGCAACATGACATATCATGATGATAAGTTATTGTGTCGTGTATAGTCGCAAATTCGGTCGTTTTGGCAATCGTTCGCTACAATTTTATGAGCTGTTGCAAGTAGCGTTCGCCATTCATGGTTTCAGAAGCTCATAATGTCCGCTCATATCATAAAGTATGCCCGTTTGATTCCACTACATTCGGCATTATCATTGATTAGCAGTTAGCCAGTTAAGGTTTAACATACGACTTTGCACTTAAGATTAAGCATCCAAATACAATCAGATACAGCAATATCCTCTTTTTGTAGCGTTCGCGCAACATTACTGAACTCAAGCTCTTTACGTGTCTGCTGAATAATGGAATAAGAATTAGATAGCGTCATATCTTGGCAAGCCAAATTATTGTACTTAAAGATTCAACACCACATGACAAAATAAACGATAAAGAGAACCTACAGTCGTACAATACACCTCGTGAGAACTCATTCTTATTTTTAAAGTTTCGACTCAAAACTATATAGGACATTTACATTACCGCCGAGGGAATATTATGGATTGAAATTGAGTGCAAATATCCTGAAATTTGTGTATTAATATTTTTGAGATAAGTATACATTCAAAGTTCATAAGCATTTTTGGCATCTGCTTAAGCACCTATTTCAAAATATGTTAAGCGTAATTTTATGCAACTTTAAACTAATCCACCATTGACTTAAAGACTAAGGCTTCCAGATCTCTAGCAGCACTTTTACAGCATGACTCGACTGCAATATCTGGACGACCACCTTCAAAAGGTTAAAGTTGGTGTAAACTCAGCAGACAATAGAAGTAAAACGCAACTTCGGTAGCAGGGAGTGAAAACAGAATGTAAGCGTATTAAGTTGGGCCCCAAATGGTTGAATTGAAGATGTTGGAAGGAAGTTCCAAAATAAAGAATCACACAAAAGCTTGATTCAGAAAGGTTCAGCATACCTAAATGTATTATGTGTTTAAAAAAGTTGCATTAAGTGAAAGCAATTATACGCGCTCAACTTTCAGTTTGACAAAAATAACAATAATGACCAGAAACGTTTCTATGGTAACAATGAAGAATTGCGCTTCAGAAACTTTATGTGTGATATATCCATTTGAAATATTTTTTTTTTCACAAATACTCCATATCAAGACTTACTAACGTCACTGATTACTTCATAAATCGCTCAATCGATTAACGGAGTATTTATATTTATATATTCTGTTGTTTCTACACACCCGTTTTTCTATTTTCAAACCGCTGCAAGTACTTTCATGTGTTTGCCCTATATTTACTGCTATTTAGTCATGCTGAAATCACAAAAGAAACGCGAGTGAATTGCCACTTAAACACAATATAAATTTACACAGCTTTAGCTCATAGTTATAAAATAAATATCACTTAGCGCTAACGCGTGGGGAATAGAATCGAAAAATAAAAACCGAGCAATTTGTGTCTTGCAATGATGGAGTTTTAAGTATCGAAAAAATATATATAGTATATTACAGTGAAACAAACACAATGGAATACATTACAAACAAAAAAATAAAATAAAAAATATCGAAAAGGCTACTCAGTGAATCGAGTTTGAATTGCTTTGAAAGTGCCGCAGAAAAAGTTTACGAGCGCAAAGCGAAGTGTTGCAAGTGATGAACGAGTAAGTGTGGCAAGTGGAGCACTCGCGATGTGTTGTGACCCCAAAGAGCTATAAAAACGGCAAGTTTTTTTCAACCGTCCGAAGCACAAGTGCTTAAATAGAAATAAATACACACGAAGACTGGCACAAATCATAACAAATGAATAGCGCAAAGGGTGGACTAAAAGAAGAAATTACAACAAAATCACAAGAACAAAAAAGCCGAAGCAATAATAAACCATAAATCGTTTTTAATGGCAAAGCCAGGAGTTAAACAATGGCAAGCAGGGCCATGATTGACAGCGGAAAGCGCAACGAGTGAGCAAACAGACGTAAATCTCTGGGTGTGGTGGTGGTGAGGAGAAGCTTTGTAATTGTTGCTGCGCTTTGATTTTTATTTGCTTAAGTCAGTTGATAAAAATTTATGACAAACTGATATTCTAACATTCAGTGGTTAACGGCAAAAGTGTGAGTGGAAGTTGACAGTTTTGATTTGCTAACTCTGGCAAATTGTGGAGTGATGAGAAATTATGGCTGTCACAGGCAAACTGCAAACGATAGTAGGAATTTTTTTTTTCAGATGGAGGCTTTACAAATAATTCCATGTCCAATTATGAAAAATAAAAAAAAGGAGTCGATCCAATTGATATCGCTTGTTTATAAATTTCATTGAAAATTATTGTTTTACAAGTGGCAACCGAAAAAAATAGTTTAAATTATAAACGATCTTAAATTTCTTTAGTTAGACATATAAATAAAAATTTATGTTTGCTTATCTTCCTAAAATTTCCAAATATATGGTAAAAAAAAAAGTATCAGTGAACCTATACTAATGTAATTTATATATTCGGCGGCAATCTCTCTCTGAGACTGCAAAAAAATAAGAATTAAATTTCGTTTTTACTTTAAGTCTCTTCGAATTCATCTCTATCATCTTTGTTTTTGCATAGAATTTATTAAGAATTAAAGAATAAAAGTAATACAAAAAAGATTTTTGGATTTGCATGTGTGATTATGATTTTATGGGTGACGAAAGTCTGCGTCGTGAAAATGCACTCAATTTTGTTCGCCACTGTAAATATATGTACTCCTCATCACCATACGGCTAAAGAATTTAGAGTGCTCTACTACGTTGTCAGAGATGTGTTTTGCGACCTTAACTCGCCATCGTTCTTAAGATCTACTATC